GATTAGTAGCTTGAAAACCGTGCGCGAAAAATTAAGAAATTATTTAAGAAGGATTTCACTACGAGTTAATGACTTTTCAACAGATCGATAAAATTATTAAAGAATTCATTAAAGAATGATTTCAATCCGAGAGGGTACTTTTCAACAGACCGATTGAGTTAAGAATTCTACTAAGATTCAAATGTAGATAGCCAATGAAATTTCTTTAGTTAATTTTTATTCCTAACCAAGAAGTATTGCAAAAAAAAAATTTCAAACTAGGAATAAAAAAGCGCCTAGTCAACGTAGAATTGCGACTAAATTGTTTTCTATTTCACAGCTTCTAAGATCTCCAAACTACCACAATATCGAGACAAAAAATTCCACTCGAATACCTCAATTTTTGCAAGCATTCGACCAAGTTCCTTGTCACATCCATATAACGGAATTCGCTCATCTTAGCCTTTGCATTTGCTTTCTAAATTTTGTCGTGTCGAATCTGCCAAAGTTCACGAAACCTGTTAAGTAGACGCCCGAGCATCCCAGAGGCCGAAGAAACCAGTCGTGTTCCACAAGGAAGTACTTTTTGTATCTCTATATTTCATAACTTACATTAAAAGGAAATGGGGTTTCGCACCGCTTGCTGTACGAAAACTAATGATTATGATTTAAACATATTCAATTCATTTCTGAAAAGAAAACTGAAAACAAAGATTAACAGCGATCCATCCCCACAGATCCTTATAAAAATCTATCCACGAAATCGAAAGAGAAAAAAACAACATTCAAAAACTGGAATCAATTGATTTTAATTTGTAAATTTTGTATGATGAAACTAAAAACAAAAAAACTTAGGAAAAATCGAAATCTTAAATTTTCAGAGAACATAAATAGTAGCTTAAAACATGTGCACGAGTCATTAAAAGTTATCAAAAAATGATTTCAATCCGAGTTAGCACATGCAACCACAATGAGAAGAAGGTATCTTTCAACTTATCGATTGAGTTTAGATCTCTAATAGGAATCAAATGTAAATGACCAATAAAATTTGTTTGGTTTTATTCTTACTCTTAAACAAAAGGTATTGTAAATGTATTCAAATTAGGACTAAAAAGCACCTAGTCGACGTCGAAGTGTGATTCAATTGTTTTCTGTTACACAGCTTCTAAGATATCCAAACTACCACGATATCGAGACAAAAACTAAAACTCCACTTGAGCACCTCGATTTGTCCAAGCATTCGACCAAGTTCTCCAAGCATTCGACCGAGTTCCTCTTCACATCCTTAAAAGTAAACTCGTTCAACTTAGCATTGGTATTTGCTTCTTAAAACTCTTCGTTTCAAACCCGCCAAACTGCATTTCGTAGACTCCGATGCTTACCAATAGCCGATATTACCAGTAGTGGTTCACATGGAAGTATTTTAACATCTTTTCATTTCAGACTTTTTCACCAATGCGAAAAGAGGGTTTCGCGCTGCTTGCTGGAGTAAAGTGAATTATTATGGTATATACGTTTGAACAACTTCAAAACATTTCTAGAAGTTGAAGAGAACGTTGAAAGGCAAGTTGAATAGCAATTTATTCCCACAGATTTTATTGAAAAAATATCTACAAGTTCGACAAGGGAAATAACATTAACAGAAAAAGAAATCAGTGTGTTTAGTGAAATTTGTTAGAGAAAACTGAAAATTGATAAGAACTTTCGCTTAGCACACTCTCAAATTAAAATTTCAGGGAAAATGATTAGTGGCTTAGAAAATTAGCGCCAATCAATCACAAAAATTATCAGAAAGCATTATCTAAACAACTAGAAAAAATCCTTTTCGTAAAACTGAAATATTCCGTTTAGAAAAACCAAAATCTAAAGATTTCAGAGAAGAGAATTAGTCGCTTGAAATATGTGCGCGATTAATCAAGAGAAGTTATTAAAGAATGATTTCACTCCGAGTTAAAACGTGATACCATAATGAGAAGAGGGTTCTTTTCAACTGATCGATAGAGTTTATATCTCTACTAAAAAAGCAAATGTTAATGACCAATGAAATTTATATGAAATATTTTTAATATTAACAAAATTTTTTTAAATATCCTCAAACTCGGGCTAAAAAAGCACTTACACTACGCGGATCTGTGACTAAAATGTGTACTGCTCCACAAATTCTAGAACATCCAAATTACCACGATGTCGAGACAAGAACTAAACTTCCACCTAATACCTCAAATTTTTCAAGCATTCGATCAAGTTCCTCGTCAGGTTCTAATAACGAAACTCGGTCATCTTAGCTTTGGCATTCACCTTCTAGAGCTCTTTCTTTGAAACCCGCTTAACTGCACGAAAACTATTTAGTACACAACGAAGCTTCCTAAAACACGATGTTACCATTGGTGTTCCTCGAAGAAGTAAATTGACAACTTAACTTTTCAGACTTTACACAAAAGCTTAACGAAGTTTCGCGGTTCTAGAGTGAATGATTATGGTATATACTTTTCAAAAACTGAAAATCGAGTTGAACAGCGATTTATTGACACCGATTTAATGAAAAAAATCCAGAAATCGACAAAAAGAAAAGAAAACCATTTGTCGAAAAAAGAAATTTATATGTGTTCTTTTCAAATATTGTAGGATGAGATAAAATTCGCTTAGCAAGTTCCCAAACTAAAATTTCAGAGGAGATGATAGGTAGCATGAAATATGTGTACGAATCAATCAGAATAAATCAAAACAATTAGAAATTTTTTCTTTTGTAAAAAATGCCAGCTGATAAAACCAAAAAAAAATACTAAGAAAATTTGCTTCAGCAAAGCCGAAATTAAAATTTTCAGAGAAGATGACTAGTAACTTGAAATATGTACGCGAATCAATAGGATCGGAACAAAACTTACTAAGCAGTAGCAGTACGAAACTTCTTAAGCAGAAACCATGAGCTGAAAAACACTTTATAAAAATCTTAAAAATTCAAAAAATTGAGTGCCCTTTATGAAACATACACGCATCTAAAACGTTTTTCGCTCCTTAGGCGACAAAATAATATGCTACTAAGCCAAAAAAAAATGCAGAAATGCTCAAAAACGTTTCGTTGGTTGAAAAAAATACAGACTCAGAAGTTTCAAATTTTGTTGGACAAATTATGGACCTGGAAAAATCTATATTAAGGTTTGATGGCGTTTGCTATTCACATGCGCAAAACAATATCAGGGGTGACTAATGCATTTTCTTGACTTTTGCTATTAATTTTGATAACAAAAAAAAGGTTTTTGATAGAATTTTAACACCGAGGTGACGCAGAGCTTCGTACGTACCACTTGCGTTACAATGCAAGCGTAACATCGCAAGCTAGCGAAATCATATAAGAATCAAGCATAAAAAAGTAAATTTCAATTTCGGATAAAGACTCGAGAAACGCAATCAACAGCATTAAACAAGCTTTTAGTATCTACATAGCTGTCACTAAGCAAAGAAAACTTGGGTCGAAGCCCACCGAGCCGGAAACAAAAAGCCATAATTCTTTCTTTAAAAATTCTTTTTTTTTGAAATTTGAAACTTTTACACACTAAACTGCTACCTTTTTTAAAACTAGTATTCATACTTCAAGCGACACAAAATCAGTTGACTGAGCCAATAAAACAAATAGAAACCATTATAATCGAAATGAAAGAATATATTCAAAATCCGCGTTGATAAATTGACAAAATCACAAAATTACTGTCAATTTTATCGAGAAATGTTCAAATCAGAAAGAGGCCAGGCTTTGACCATTGAGCCGACTAAAAAAAAGCAGAGTCTGACAATTCAATTTTTTCCGGAAAAACCTTCCAATTTCTGAAAAAAAAAACAAGGTTCGATCAGGACTCGATCCCCAGGACTTATGATGTAAAGGCAACCGCGTTCCCCGCAGACAAACTGGGAAGGAGCCTGTAGTTTGTTGGGGTTCAATTATAAAGTTCAATTTCTTACAGATTTGTAAGAAGAGTGTTTTACGATAAAAGTCTAGTTCCCGATTACTAGACACTTGCTCTAGCGGGTCTAGGGAGCGTTAACTTAACATTCATGAAAGCTTTACTTATTGTTGAATGCCAAAACATCGCTGGATACTAATCGTCAAATCACTGATCAGACAGAATAATTATCTTGACTATTTAAAAATTGATATAAATTACCGTGCAGTAAACATTCAAAAATATTTTCCAAAAGCCTTGCATCAATCTACTGGTATTTCTATTATAAATTGCATCAAAGTTTTAGTTTAAATATCAAAACATAGCCAACAGACAATTGGAAACGAGTCAATGAACGCAAGGAAACTAAAAAAAAAAGCAGTAGTTTTTTTTTCGAAAAAACTACAATTTTTGGATTTCAAATTGAGGAATATATGGCCTTCAAACTCTATCAATTTCTCAAAAATAATTTGCGATTAACCCCTTTTTTGTTAAAATTAACTCAATTTGATAAAACTGGATCAATAGATAAAATTCTAAATCCACTGGGAAATCTGAACATTAAAATCGACTTTCAAAAAAGAAATCGATCACGTTTAAAGTCCACTTTTGAAATTAAAATTTTTCCGTGACATTTACAATTTTGCCATTCAATAGTGGAGTTTACTTTCCTTCTAACAAAGGAAATGAACCGAAATTGAAAACAAATCAAAAGTCAAACCGCGACAAATCAAATTTGAGCGTGAACAAATTTTCCGTAAAAATTTAAAAATCATCACGAACTACAACAGAGTCCTCACTAGGTTCATCGACTCTTTAAATACAGCGTTCAGTGAGGGCGAAATAAATTTTTCATTATTAATGACAACATTCTTGATTATCAATTACAATTTTTTTTAGTAAACGGCGGATCTATGAAGGATAGACTCTGCAGGTTGATAAAAGTGGCAGCTTTTGAGTTCGACGACGCTGACTGAAAATCAGACATGCAATAATATAGCGCAATTGGAAACTTCACAAAAAAAACAGACTTGGGACAATTTGAGCGCTTTCATATTAGTTGCCATTTTCATGCATTATTACTAGAAGCTATAGACTGCATAGATGGCTGATTTTGCGGTGCAACGACAGCCAATTCCAGCGTGAGCTGGTTTCCGAAGCTGCTTGTAGCTGCGACCCCCTTCCCTCCCCCTCCCGGGTTCTTTTCATCTTCGACAACAATTGGGATTTGGGTGTTACTGGGTCGGGGTGAGTTGTTCATAAAGCTGGCTCTGTAGCCAGTGTTTGGTCCGTTGACGTCCAGGGGGATGTTTTCACGTCTAACCTCCGTCAACCTATAAACGTAATTATCGTACAGTAGGCTCAACATACAGTCACGAGACAAAGCGTCAGCAGCTTTTAATTTTCAACCGACGAAATCAACGAACATTTTCGTCACGTTTCTTCTATTTTAATGCGGCTATCAGAAAAACTTGTTTTTTTCATCGGTTGAAAACTACAACAGGCAATTTCTTGGTCCCTTGATTAGCTATTTTTTCCATCAAGAAACAATTTTAAGATAGTTTTATTGTTTGCTTTCAATTGAGTACAAGAATTCGTAGCTTGCAATGATGCAATGCCATATCAATTCCAAAAACATTGCCAATTGCAGATGAGTAATGAACTGAAGAAAACTGCAAAAACGGACTTATTTATGAACAAACTTCAATAAATAAAACATAACCAACTGGCAGTTGGAAAAGAATAATGAACGCAAGTAAACAGAAAAAAAAGACTTCGAAAAAATTTCAACTTTCGAATTTGAAAGAAAAAAATAGACGCCCTTTAAGCTCTTTGAATTTCTATAACAATTTATGATTGGCACTTTTTTGATAACATGAACCCAAATTGAGAAAACTGGATCAATAGGTAAAATTTTTATTCCGCTCAAAACCTAAAAACTAAATTCCACTTTGGAAACTAGAAATCTTTCAGGTTTTTTTCGAGCCATTTCCACGTTCGTATTTGGAGAGTGCTATTTACGTCAATTTCAGCAGATGAATTTCAATTGAGCTCAAAAAGTGCATATATACCTTAGTGCATTCATAAATGCATCAGTATGTAGGAATGCACATCTGTAGTTTTTAGAGCATTTCAAGACTTTTTGGTTAAAAAAAAACAAGAAAAAATCACCAAGACTACATTCATTACACTTAATGATGAATAAAAAAATATACGCCCGCCCTTAAAGCTCTTCTAAATTGAAGAACAATTTAAGTTTATGATGGGTGATTTTTTGACTAAGTTAACCCAATTTGAAAAAACTGGATCAATAGGTAAACTTTTTATTCAGCGAGGAAGCCTGAAAACTAAAGCCTAAATTGAAAATACCCCTATCTTCGAAACTAGAAGTCGATCTTCCTTATGACCTTTACACTTTTGCTGTTTTATAGTTGACCTTCCTTTTAAGAAAGGAAAAAAAACCAAACTTAAAAAGCAATCAAAAGTCAAACCGCGAAAAATCAAATTTTAGCGTGAGCAAATTTAAAGAATTATCCTTAAAAAAAATTATCGCAACCTATATAAGAGTATTCACTACGTTCACGACTCTTAAAAACAGTACCGAAAATGAAGCTGCATAAATTTTTCACAATCAGCAAACCCTGAAACTAATCGAGTTTCCCTACGATAGTGGAGTTAGCATTCGATAGTGGAATCGTTAGTCAAGCAGCGAAAAATCAAATTTTCACTTGGCGTGAAAAATCACTTGGCATGATCAATTTTCAATAAATTTTTTCCTGAAAATAAGAAAAAAATCACGACCCATATAAGTGTCTTCACTACGTTCATTGAACCTAAATGACTATGCTACGATCTACAAGCGGGAAAATATACAAAAATGAAATTTTCCAATTTGAGTGTTAATATAAACACAATTTCTATCTCTCTTTTGAAATTCATCAATATGTCTTATGAAATCAGGAAACTTTGAATATAGATGGAACAGTTTCTTCAGTTATCTAGAAAAATCAGACAAGTAGTCGCGAACTGAGTTCAGCCGAGCAATGACTAAAATTATTCTCAAAGCTGTTTTTGCACATATCGAAAAAAACCTTCCCGAAATAGCTGAAAATAAAAGGACAAAATCACCAACTGTAAGCAAAACCAAATGTAAAAAAAAAACTTCCCAAAACACAGTATCATCCAAATTTGGCTAAAATTGCCTCCCAATATTTCCTCCAAAAATGGACTGGGAACTTTTGAAAATCCTTTATTTTGTGGCACAGTTGAACACTTAATTTCCGGAGCTGTTAGACTTTGAAACTCTTTTTAGTTTATTTGTAATTTCGAAAATTTCTCAAACGACAAATTTTGACGAACGACTCGACTCATACAGCTTAAATTACTTCAACTCCTGAGTTTTAACAGAGTCGCCTAACCTGTCGAACAGAGGCAGCGTCTCGAAGTACTTGTGGGCGCCCTTCTTGAAGCCGACATTCATCTTGTAGAAGAGGAAGAAGTTGAGGAGACTCTGGGTGAAGATGAAGTAGCCGGTCATCTTGAACATCCACAGTGCCGGAGACTCACAAGTCCACACTATGTACCTTCATGAACACGTTCAGTTTAGTAAATCAATGCTAAATTCAAGTGTTTCAAGAGAAAACGCCTGAAACCAACAAAACTATCACTTTATATAAACAATAAAAATTAAAACTACATGCTACATCTCAGTCTTTCAGTTCAAGGAAACTTGGAAGCAATTCTTAAGTTTTTTTGAGAAAGAAGGAACTTAATTTACTCGATTTACACATCAAAACTCAACAGGGCGACTCGATGTCAGGTTTGCATTAAAAACCAAGAGGCCAAATCAGTCAATAATGGATTAGAAAATGTGGTTTCTACGAAAACACAAACAGGTAATTAGTTTCACAATAAATCTCGTCATGTAGTACTTAAGTCCGCTTCGAGCTGGTCAGTCACCCAGAACTTATATCACGCTTCGAAGTAAATTGTAATACATTAACTTAGAAAAACTTAAGCCAAAGAAATACTGATCTTAGAAAATGTAGAAATAGTCCGAATGATTTCGAAGTTAAAGCTCACCGAGATTACGTTGACTTAGCTAAAAACGAATTAAGAAAAGTTAAAAAAATTGTACAAAGAGAGACTTAAAGCAAGCTTAAGAACTCAAAAAGATAGAGGGGGTAAAGATAACTTCCTAACTGAGTTCATGCGTCGACCAAAATGTTCGCCCAACCAACAGATATAACTGATAAGTTTCATCGATTTTTCACTAAAACAAGAAAATGATGTTAACAACCTAAATAGATCAAAAATTCAATGTTATATATAGATCACGCGTTAATTGTCCCAAATTGGCCAAAATGGCAACCTTTAAAGCCCCATAACTTTACGAAAAATGATCACAGGTGAAATATCTTTTCAAACTAAGCTCAGGACAACAATAGCTTTCGAATGATATAAAAAAATTCGGTCAAAAATGGCTAGTTAAAAAGTTAAATTTGTCAAGAAAAAAAAAAACACCCAGAGCACAAATATTCCGAAAGTCGGAACAATTACGCAATAGTCTGAAAAAAATTTGCAGCAGAACTGAGAATTATGCCATGTATTTCGTTTAATTCTTGTAGCATTCGTTATTTCAATAAACATTGCGTCTCGGAAAAAAACAAGCAAAAATTGTCTTTGCAATAGCGTTATTGCAAACGCAATTTTTTCCGGGCCCTGCTCATAAGACAACGGAACTTGATGTTTTCAAAAAATGGAATACCTCAGATAACAAAAGCTCATCTGGTAATAACAACATCGGAAAAATTATTTAAATAATTACTGCTGCATCCGAAAGATGAATCAAAAATTGATGATTACTGTCTTTATTTTTTTTATCTTTGAACGTTTTTCTTTGCTGTATACGACACAATCTGGATTTCAAAATAAGCATAGCACAATTCATGGGCAAGCTGAACTTACAGAAAGGCTAACTATTTTCCTGTCGTCTTACGAATTTTTCGAGTTTTTTCGAGGAAATGGAGAAAGCATTTGATACTATTGATTCTGATATTTTATCTTATACAGTAGAGACATAAGGTTTCAACAGAAACTTTTGATGAATCAAATTCAGCGTTGTGTACTGTTAACGTTATGTCGGAGTAAAAAAGAGTGAAGGTCCATAGCTCTCAATTCTAGACTATTTGCAATTTTCGATATACATAACTGGCCTAACTTAAGCTTCCAAAACTGCCATCTTTTTGTTATTTGCAAAAAAATGCAAAATAACGTCGATAGATTGTAAAACGGATGATGTACAAGAAGGGATGTTTTCTTAAAATAATTAGCTTTTTGTAATAAATTTGACGAGTCCCTAACTAACGCCGTTCAAATGAATCTAATTCATAGGTTTGAAACAAAGTGTATTTCGATAACAATCAAACCTGTCTGCAAGTATTTAGTTGTTAAACTTGACCATAAGATTTTCCGTTCACAGCCATACTGAAGCTCAGTAAGCAATAAGTTATCATCTAAAAACTAAGACACTAATATTTAACTAGAGGGTATAATTGCAGCTTGCTCCATGAAGCATTTTCTTAAAGTTAAGCTGAGCGAAGTTCATTTTGATTTTTGGAACCAGAGTAACAGAAATGACTTGTTTTTTTTAAACAACTTTCGCGTTCGAAACAACAAAAAATGGCCTAAGAGCTCTTTCGATTTGAGGAATCTTTTATGATTCTTTTTTCTGATAAAAAATAATACGGATTGAAAAAGATCGATCTACAGCTAAAATATATTCCGCTGGGATTTCTTTAAATTGAAATCCTTTTTCGAAACTAGAAGCCGTTAACGTTTTTTCGTGCATTTCCATTTAGGTGATAAGAATGCATAAATTGCATTTCATTCAGCAAATCAATATCAATTGAACTTAAGAAGTGTAGTTATGAATAGTGACATTCATAAGTGCAATGAATCTATGTGTGTATGAATGTATAAATATCTAATAGATAATTGAAATTAAACCAGAAGACTAAGATTCATAATTCAGTGTGAAAATTAGTCTAAAAAATTAATCTGAAATCACTGAAAATAAAAGCTTTCAATACGTTGATTGACACTTAAAATCTAACAAGACTGCTCGTATCAGGGCAAAGCCCTGAATCTTCCGACTGCCTTTTGAGGTTTATGGAGCAGCAGTAATAACATAAAAAATTAAATGAAATAAAATAAAATGAAACTTTTTTTCCCCAAAATTTGAAATTTTTTACGAAAATTATCCCCCCACACGCCATATAAAGTAAAAAAAAGGATAAATTTCGCTCCTTGTAACAAACCAATTATGGCAAATAAGCTTCTTTTAACCAATTTGGAACGATTTCTAAGACGGATTAACTCTCCGCTTACGCGTTAATAGCGCGAAATATATCGCGCGTTAATTGTCCCAAATTGGCCAAAATTGCAAACTTTAAACCCCCGTAACTTTACGAAAAAAGATCACAGGTAAAATATCTTTTCAAATTTGAGCTCAGGACAACAATACCTTTCGAATGATAAAATTCCGTCAAAAATGGCTAGTTAAAAAGTCGAAATTTGTCTGAAGAAAAAATAAAACCACCCCGAGCACAAATATTCCGTTACTTTCGTATCGAAAGTCGGAACAACAACTTTTCAATTTGGTAGCTCTGATCTTTCAAGAAAATAGAAAAAATCACCATTATTGTTCCGAAATTCGTAACGAAAGTAACGGAATATTTGTGCTCGGTGTGGTTTTTTTCTTCAGACATGACTTTTTAACTAGCCATTTTTGACGGAATTTTTGATATCATTCAAAAGGTATTGTTGTCCTGAGCTTAAATTTGAAAAAATATTTCACCTGTGATTATTTTTCGTAAAGCTATGAGTGTTTAAAGATTGCCATTTTGCCCAAATTGGAACAATTAACGCGCGATATATTTCGCGCTATTAACGCGTAAGCGAGATTTAATCCGTCTTAGAAATCGTTCCAAATTGGTTTAGCGAAGCTTATTTGCCATAATTGATTTGTTACAAGTAGCGAAATCTATCCTTTTGTACTTTATATGGCGTGTGGGGGGATGATTTTCACAAAAAATCTCAAATTAAAAAAAAATCGTTCTAGTACATTTAATTTTTCATGTTATTACTGCTTCATAGACCTTCAGAGGCAGTCAGAACATTCAGGGCTTCGCTCTGATACGAGCAGTCTTGTTGAAAATATAACTCGATCAAAACTATGAAATGGTAGATATACTTTTCCTTTATTAAATTCACATAACCGTGGTTCGTAAGCTGCATGCTTAAGGACTACCAACAATGAGTCGATTTAACTGTTAAGAATGATCATCAAAAACCTTCTAGCTCTAGAGAAAACAAAGTTTAGGATATGGTTTTGAATTTACTCCCTTATTTTCATAAATCTTTTTTTTCTGAAAACGCTTTTTTCTTTAAGTGTTTGTGCAATAGAAATGTGATACCTTTATTGGGCCAACAGGTCGCTTTGTCTGTTCATTTTTGATTTTGATTAACTTTGATACAAAAAACCTGTTATTTGATGGAACGCTGTTTGTTGTAAATTAAGTTCTAGTGTAGCGGGTAAATGGATCAGTAGGACTCTTTGTCTATCCATTCCTTATTTGATGAAACTTAGTTGATGGATTTTTTTGTAGATGATAAAGCTGATTCTGCTTTTTTCTTTTTAGTAAATTTTTTATTCTTATAAGCCTGAAACGGTTTAAAATGATTTTTTTAACCTATACTTCTGAAAACAGTTGATTATTATTTTCATTGCTATGCTATCTGCCCTCACCTGTCCACAGTCATGTAGGGAATGAATGAGAGGAAGAAGACGACAGTGACTAGGAACAGCATTTTGCACGCATTCAGCTGTGCCACTATCTGCATGCCTCCTTGGGCCGCCATGCTTGCCCTCCTCCCAGCTCCAGCCTGTCTCTGCTCCTTCATTACCATCGCCTTCTCCTTCCACACACTGGCCAGTATCATCAGATAGCAGCCCAGCACTACCATACCTGGAAGCATTAAATCACATACTTTCCTCAAGTTATAGATAGCTCAATCAACATGTAATCTTGCAATCAAATAAGAATCAAAACAATCTGTTAATAACTTACTCAATGAGAGTAATTTTACCGTCTGATTAATCAAAAGCGGGAAAAACAAACAACTCTCCTCCAAATCAAAAACAACTTATTCACTCAGTTAACTTCTGACATTAGAGCGCCCTTCGATCGATCGATGTAATTTTTAACACAGAAGCGAAGTTGCACTTCGCATACACAAGCAAAAATATGACCGGCAATATGAGTCTACATAATTGCTAAATGACGCAAACCAATTATGACGCATTAGCAGTACCAGTCAATTTGAAAAGAAAAAGAAATTTACCCAACTAAAATGTCTCAACATATAGAGCGGACGCATTTTAACTAGTAGACGAAAAAATTCATTAAAACCATTCGACCCCGCTGAGGTTCGAACTCTCTTATTTTGCTGATGGTCTTCTTTCCTACCTCTACGCTATTTGTATAAAGTGCTATTTGTAATACAATAGTGTGTGTTAACATGCTTAGCATTTGCTGTACTTAATCGCTGGTTATTGATCTTATGCATATACTGCAATAAAAGAGCACTAATATTTGCGAATTAGGTTGAAAAAAAGTGAGGTCGTAATATCACCCAAGCTTTGCTTGTGTAAAAAAAGTTAGTTCGTTAAACACCGCCGTCAGAAAACTGGAAATAGTCCATCCATAAACGTTAAAGGAAAACCATTTGTTCTTGAAAACTTTCCAAAAAATATATGACCTGAAAACTAATGATTGACACTTAATTTTTTCATTAAATTCGCCCAAATTTTTGACAACGAAAACAAATGCTGTAGTTGCCTCGTAAGCCAAACCTAATCTTGGGCTTTATGTTATTTAGACTACAACTAACTGACACATTGATGCTGATTATGTGATTACAGACAAATAAGGATGAATCATGAAAATAAATAGTTGACCTGGGGTGACAAACATGAGCAGCATCTGTATATTTGTCAAATAGAAGTTGTTCGAGATCAGGAAGCAGATGTACAGGTAGTCATCAAACCATGATTCATCCGTGATGGCCCAGTACACTGGGATGAGAGTTCCCAGGAACCCAATGGCTGCAAAAGTCCCAATGAGTTTCTCGGTGGAGACAAACTGGTGGTACTTCAGTGGCCAATAGATGGACACAAATTGGTCAATGGCAGATACCATCAGACACATTGCATTCACATTCTAAAAAAATCATCTTTACCAAATTTCGAACATAACTTTTTCATTTTTTTAAGAAGAAATGGATCAAACTAACGAACGCATGGCCTTTCAAATAAGCGCTTTGATTAGTTCTTAATTAAATTTCGTACTAAAAAACGTAATTCCATAAATTTTTGAAAAAGTTGGTCTAATAAAATCGACACTTAGAAAGCAAAACTATGGAATAACACTTGACGACAAACGTACCTGGAAGAATGCTAGCAGTATGGCCTGTCCGTGACATACAAATGTTGGATATTGGAAGCCATGATCAAATGCCGGTACCACTGCAGATCCAATGAGAAAGGACATGAACACGTCACACATGGACATGCAGACCATCAGGTATCCGGGAGGATAATGAAGCTGCGGAGTCCTGACCACGACGAGGATGACGAAAGCTGAGCTCCAGAAAATGGACACTGCAAGAAAAAGATACCATCCGGACTCGGCCAATCGAAACAGCACGTTGTTCGGGTTGTCAGGATATTCGAGTCCATCGAAATCTGAAACAAAACCACGCTACAGTGAATGATCAATGTTTTCGAAATCAAAACAAAATCACGTTAATGAACGCAATAAAATAGAAAAAAAACTAACTTGTTTTTTAAAAAAAACATCAACTTTAGCATTTCAAAGTAAGAAAAAACACATGGCCTTTCAGCTCTTTGAATTTCAAGAACAATTTATGATTTACACTTTTTTGAAATAAAGGCGAAGCGGAGCTCGGCATCACTTGCGATACAAGAGAAAAAACCGAAAAAATGGATAGTATTGGAAAAAAAGAATCAAGAGCTACCAAAATTTTCGCATGTCTCGGTAAAATTAGTTCTGGGCCAACAAGCCAAGCAAAGCATTTGAATATTAAATTAGCAACGGGAAAAAACTTGCGAAACGGAAACAAAACCGACAATCTCTGAGCAGACACCAATAGAGCCGCTAAAAAACTGATTTTGTAAAAAGTTCCACTTAAAACTATAATGAAAAAGGCTTACAGCAAAATAAAAATCCGTGATGGGGCAACTAAGCCGATAAAACTTGAGCAGATAATAGTCAGTCAAACAACTCAATTTTTACAGGAATCATTTGTCCAAAAAAGTAGCAATTAAACAGATTCACAACCATTTCAAAATATTTTTAAACTTTTTTGCCTAGGTACTTGTAAATAAAGCAAAATTTTTGCCCATGAAGCGCTAAATAGTTTTCACTTCAGAAAAATCAAGTTTTCCTGGCCTAAAAATTTCAGATAAAGAACGTTATTCGATCGCTTTATTCGCTCAAAATTAGAACAAATCTCGATATTTTGAAACCAGTTTCTCTGAGCACCTGGACGATTTATTGAAATTTTTTAAATGTCTTTCAAATTACGACTGAAAAGGATTGAATATGATATATCACTCGACCCATTCCGATGATTATGTGTGGTTTCTGATTTTGCGTCGAAAATCCGAATGCAAAGTTTCTCCTCATTTTTAATGGTCACAACCAAAACAAGTAAAATTTGTAAGAGAAGTCGATAAAAGGGGGAAAAACCGTTTAGTTCCCGCTCTAGCAATCCAATAAAATTACACCAATTTGAGAAAACTGGATCTATAGGTAAACTTTTCATTCCGCTGAGAAATCTGAAACTTAAAATCCACTTTCGAAATTAAAAGTAGATCAATTTTTGTGACCTTCAGAAAATCAAAAGTAACACTGCAAAAAATCAAATTTGAGCGTGAACATATTTTATGATTTTTCATGAAAACAAAAAAATCAGCACGACTTATGAGATAGTCTAGATTAGACTACGCTCATGAAAACGAAACTCTCCGAGCCCACTAAAAGCCTCCTCACAGCAAAATTTATTTCAGCGGAAAAGTTCAAACTAATAAGTTTTCTTACCACATGTGTCGTTAGGGGGCAACTTCAACAAGCTTGTCGACGAATTCATTCTTGAGTTCAAATATAAAGTTTTCTACCTTCCCGAAAATTAAGAACAACTCTTCTGCTTCTGCAAATTGCAGGTAAGAGATGCAATCAGGCAAAATTGATGAATGATTACATTTTCAATTATACGCTAAGCCGTTTAATTCCATTTCTATCCCCATTTGTTTTGCATTTTAATCAATTTCACAATCGCTCTCAAGTTTAAAGGGATTAAGTACAAATATTTTCCTGGTGGACACTCTGCGGAGCTATCATTGATCCAGGGCTTGTCAGATACATACCTTCGCAAGTGCCAAGGGAATTATTTTTTATCTTTTAATCCATTTTCAAATTGGGTCTACCCCTGATTAGGAAAGATAGAATACTCATCTTAGCTATACCGAGAGGTTAAAAAGGGTCGGGTCGCTTTCGCTGCCGGATCAGAACAAAACAAAAATGCCTTGTAATGGTTACTAAACGAAAAAACACTGGAGTCCTACTTGACTCACTGTAAACACAGAAAAAGGCCGAATACCACTTCATATACAATCGAAACTTGAAAAAAAAACGAGAAATCAAATTAAAGCTGCTTCAGATGAAATGAAAACCATGTAGAAAAATATTCTTCGCTATTGCCTAAAAAATTAAAACTCGAAACGTCTTCCATATATTTAAAAAACAAACACGGCTCTTATTATTTATCATATCATATCCCTATGATCCTATCATTTTCGTATCCCTATAACATTATGCAACGCGATAAATTCACAAAAAATCGAAAGTGAAACATCCCTCGAATTTTGAATCCAGGGTATAAAATCTTTCAGGTCGTTTAAAAACCCATTTACTTTCAAAATGTATGAAGTCGTGCATTCTCTGTCACACTTAGATAGTCAAAACAAAGTCTCACAAAATAAATATTTTGAACAAAACAAAATCACAGAACATCAATTTATGTTGAGCATTCAAAACTTCGCTATTTTTTTCATTATGATGACGCGACTGCGGGTGCATTAGTCCTCTGTTGCGCTGGGTTTACAGGCGGAGGACCTTGATAGAAAGATGCCTGTTGCGCATATGGTGTCGGTTGCATCACATTTGAGTGCTGCTGTTGCTGCTTTGAATCTGAACTAGAAATATTACTCATCATTAAAGGATTCGTGCCCTCGTTTTTCTGCTGCCCATTCGCCGACATATTAGTCCAATCTGACTGCATGGGTCTACCAGTTCTGGGATCCGTCGGCACGGGCCACGAGTACGTCCCGCCAGCGCCACTCACCGGAGTTGGGTGCGGCATGCTCCCGTACATCATATTAGGGGCATATTGTGCATTTGGGGGCATTTGGAACCCTGGTGGCATCATATTAGGGGGCATCACGACACCTGGGGGAAACATTTGAGGGTTCATGATTGGATTGGGGGGCATCTGTTGCATGTTTGGCGTGACAAGAGTGGGCACTTTGCCCGACTGCATCTCGCGTAAGTATCCTAGCACCGTTTTGTAGATATCCTGCGTTTCTTTAGTTTTCTCCTGAAATAGAGAAGTAATCGCATTTCCCCTATTCGTATGTTTTAAAAATAGGTTTTTTTTGCCAAGAACTTGCATCATTTGAATACTATCATGCACACCATTCAAAACATTTCAACCTCTTAGCTTTCGCATACTGGAATGAACCTCTTAGCTTTCGTAAACTGGTCGGTCAACTCAACGAACATAGTTGATACCGTTACTTCATTTTCTTAGGAAATTCTTGGCAAAATGATTTGTTTGACTGAACTTCTTATTCTATTTTACCTCTGGTTTCATGTAGCGTAGCCTGTATTGTACATGTGCCTCAGCCAAAGCCCTGGATATCTCGATGGCCGTCTCTGCGTCACTTTCATCTTTGATCCTGCATTGTGCCAGGATACTCTTGCACTCTTTCAAGTTGGAGGCCTTCTATAACGCAGTTCATAAGAATCTCTATATTAGTCTCTTGAGTAGTTCTGGGGTTGAGAACTACAAAATGGCGCTGTGTTCATTGCAAAAATGAGTTGAAAAGCATCAAAGAAAAGCCACCCTCGTCAAAGCCAATACAATTGTCGTATTAAGGCTCGGAGCAGTTCTTCCTCTGAAAACATTCGAAATTGCAATTGTGAGTTTGTAATAAAGTGACCCGAGACGTTTGAGACTAGTTAATTTAAAATTCATTTTCAGACTAAGTGTCTTCAATGTTTACCTTGGACGTAGTTCCACTGGCTGATCCCTCTTTCTCCTTAGGCTTCTCTTTCTCGTTATCTTTCTCCTTCTCCTTGCCTTTTCCCTTCTCATTTGCCCCTCCCCCTTCGGTGTCTTCTTTCTGTTTCTTCTCCTCATACCACTTCTCCCACTCTTTGTGCATCTCACGCACACTACAATCAAATTAATTTACATTGCTACCGGACATGCAAAAACAAACTAATTTTCCAGGAAGGCGTGAAACAATTTTCGGATCTTTTTAAAAATTACCCTCTTCAAGAAAGGGGGGGTTTAATTGTTAAGTAGATTAAATTAGTCGAATTTTCGACCAATCAGAATGTAGCAAAATTCGATTTATACATAGAAAGCTCTAGTGCTAATTTACTGCTTTTATTTATAGGGGTGGCAATTTTTAGTAGACACCACAGGAGTGGCTATTGTTAAGTAGATCCCAATTTTCGATCTCCGATAAAGCACGAGCAGATTTAAGGGGAGGGGTATTATTTCTGTTCGACCAAACCCAAATTTTATTTGAAGGCGCCAACTTACACTTAAATTGAGGGGCAAATCGTGCAAAAACTCCTGAACAAAATATTCCGAAAATCTCTTAAAAAGGTCAACTCGCCTGTCTTCTTCTTCTAAAAATTTACCTGTCAAACATCATTTTCTCAGCCAAAGGTGTAATCAAAACGACCTGATGAACCCTTTCTTCATTTTGAGCCCAACGAGTGTTTTTAATCAAATCCGCTAGCCTAGACATAATAATCGTACAAAAGTCCATCCTAAATAAAACCTCAGATGTGCCTCGTAACCAGATTAACAAAAGACTCACTATTTTTGAAAAAATATTTCCTCTCTCGGGGGTGGTGACATCTCACGCTCTGCGATTGAATCCCCTCCTGAAGATCCTCTTACAGCAGCTGCAGAGCCACCATTCGCGCCTCCTCCTCCCCTGTGGGTATTCCTCCTCGCCCACTCTTCCTGCTTCTCTTGTCTAGTAAAACAGACTCATAGCAACGACCTTTTTTGTAGCATATGCTGCTCAAAAGACTTTTCTTTCAAGTTAGTAGAACAACAAGAATTATCCTAATTACTGCAAATGAGCTACACGTATGGCGTCGACATGCACAACTGATATTTTTATTTCTTGCATTATGAATTTACAAAAACTAACCTATACTGATCTAACATGGAGTCATAATCCTCCGTGTCTTCCCCTTCCTCTATGTCCATGCGACTCGGGAACCGAGGAGGTCCCATTCGGCGTCTCTTCAATTCACGGTTGGATCCAAGTTGACTGGTTGGACTTCGAGTTCGAGCACGCAACGATCGCTCGTCTGGTTGCTCACCCGGAAGTAATCCTGAAACAATAGTAAATCATTTACTATATAATTGCAATATAAGATTAAAATTTCGTTTCACTGTAAAGTGGACGCAGCAATGTACAACTTAAAAACATCCTCTTTAACAAGACTTTTTATGGACCAATTTTTTTTTTAATTAGGGGACATTGAACTGACAAATTGCAGATGCCTTTCAGTAGCTTAAAGTATCTTTGTTCAAAATCTTAAATTCTTTAGTAAGATGCGATGCAGAGAAAAAAATGTTGTCTCGAAAGACGTTCAATTTGAGAAAAATACGTCCACTAACACAACAGCCGGCGTTAAATGCGTATTCAGAGTTAGGCTTCGAGCGGCATCTCAGCCGACAACACTTAGGTAAACGCCCGTTGAGCCCAAAGCAGAAAAAACATGCCATGAAACAGTTTGAGCTATTCAGCTTTGATATTCACGCCCTTTCCCACTCAACACACACAAAAGGATTTTTAAAACATTTTTTCCTTAAAAGGGCTCCAAATTATACCATGAAGCCAAAAAAACCCAAGCCATTTTTGTCTATTTAGGTTTTTTAGCGTTAAAAATTTTTTAAAACTACAAAGTCAGAGTTAGTACATTTACAATTAACCGAAATGAATCCAAGGAATCGGCTAAGCCGATACAACATATACAGACAAACGAGGCCAAAGTTTTTTTGAAACTGAAAACTTAGCCTTTAAAAAACAGGCCTTGGTCGGATTCGCGCCTAGATCTTTAGTCGTCAGACGTAGCCGTTACCTCTGGGCAAAGCATAGAAAATTGAAATAATTAAAATGATGTTAAACTAGTAGTTTACCTTCAAAAAATCCTTTTTGTTGTTCAGATCATTTTAAACAAGAGGAATTTTGTATTCAGGTGTGTTTCAGTTTTTGTGTCGACCATTTGAAAAATGGGTAAGAACTTTGTATTCGAGTGTGTTTTATATATATTTCTTGTTTTCCATGCCAAATCAGGTACTACAGAGAATCATCGGAATGGATCGATTAATAAACAAAACTGAAGCCCTTTCAGTTGTGACTCAAACATTGAAAAATTTTCAAAAAGTTTTATCAGTATCGAGAAAAACTGGCTTAAAACTTTTGATTGTTATTTCAAATTCGAACGAATACAGCGATTGAGCAGGCTTACTACACTACAGCTTGTTTATGCTTGAATTAAACCCTGAAAACTTAATTTTAAGCACGCATTTTTAAGTTTCTAGTCATTTTTCCACAAAAACTCTTTGTCCAATTTTCGTTTATTACTATTACCGCAGAAATGCCTAAATTATAGTTTTACGTCAGATTCTTTCATCACACCACGAAAAAAAAACTAATTTGAAAAAGTTTTCAATTGTTTTGAAGACTATGGTCGGAACATTATCTGCGACTTGCACAGTAACAGGCTATCCAGACAATCTCAATCCCAGCTTCATAGCACTTGCTAATAGCAGGTTTCAAACTACAGCGTAATAATCAAGAAGCAATAGTAAAAAATCGACCTAAATTATTATTGTGAAATTTATACCATGAAGCCAAGTTTTGAAGCCAAGTTTTAAGCCAGTTTTTTTTTCTAATTTTTTATTAAGTGTCAGAGAGTTTAATTTGAAAAACTTACACAAAGGCGAAGCTGCGTTTTGCAAACACAAGTGAGAAAAATGCAAAGAAGGGCTATAAACAGGCAAAACAAAGTGAAAGAAGGAAAAGGAAAAACTCATAACATACCTTAAAAGAAAAATTTGATAATCCATTTTTAGACTAAGAGTATCACAGTTTCACATCTGCTCTTCGACCGCTGGTAAATTTACTAACACCAGTCACAAAAAAAAGCAGCAAAAATTCGAGCAGAAAAAATTTGACTATTTCAATGTTCCCGATTTGAATATCCGAACTGATGATTAAGAGCGTCACTCACGTCCTCGCATCTGTGCAACAATCGCTTGGAAGTAAACTACAGGCCCAGCTAATGCTGGATGTACCTGTTTTCTTATTTTTAAAAACTTCGATTGTACTGATACCGAAATGCGTAATTTTCACAAAAATGAAGTTCACCCTAGCAGAGAAATTCACCCTAGTAATTTCTCTGCTTAAGAAGTAGATTAGCTGTTTATAAGGAGAAAACTACTAATCCTCCTTTCAATTTAAATCTTTCTTCAGATTTCGCTCGGTAGTTTTCGAAAAAAAAAATGAAAAAAAAAATCTAAGAAACGATCAAAAAATCAAAAACTTGACTATTCCTAAATCTAGAAATATTCTCTACTTAAGCATGGGAATAGGCTCTTATGCAGGGAAGATTTCCACGCCCTAATTTTTAGAATTAACCCCTAAAGTCCAATTCCGCTAAAAGTTTTCCAGAATAGTGGATTATCCCGAAGTGCGTATTGGCTTTCTTCAAAAAAAGGAGAGACCGATTACGCAGAGAAATCTAAGCATCAGGTTAGTTTGAATAATTGATTATCCCCAGAATCAGCACGTTATCTTTTGAAGAAAAGAAGTTACTAAAAAAAGGGTAAAAATTCAAAATTTGAATTTTTTTAGGGCTACAATGTTTTCAAAACGCAGTGCATAACCGATTGTTCAGGAAACTATTTTTCTTTCGGTTGGCAGGGTAGTTTGAGAAGAGTTTTAAAAATCAACTGAAATGTCAAAAAATGTGCTTGTTTGAGACCATACATTTTTCTACCGAATTTAGGCAACGATCGCTTGAGAAAGGGATATCCAGGTGATTCATTTTTTTGATTGAAACCTTCATCTCTTTCATGTAATAATTGAGAAAATGAAAAAATTCAAAACAAATAGATCAAAAATCTCCATACTGAAATTTTCGAAGACCGCAGAAAATGAAAAGAGGTAAAATGAAAAGAGACTAGCGAAATATGCAGGCACAAAGAAGAGCAGCCAGTTTGTCCATTGGTGCCATTTCTGAAAAACTGCGGTGTAGTTTTTGAAAAATTGAAATTTCTGCGAAAAACAAACAATAAAAAACAACAAATCCCATGCATTTTCATAATACATGTTTTTCAAACAGGACCGAACACTAGCCAACAATAAAGCAACAACATAAGCTATTAAATTGCCTATGCTTAAATAAGCTTGAACTTGATTAAATTGAAAGATACCATAAGTGTCACCAATTGAGCACGTTTATTGATGACTTAGGCTAGGAAAAAAACCTTCGTATTAATACACTACGCTTAGCTGTGTAAAACATATTGGCACAGTTGAATTAATACAAAACAATAGAAAAAAATTAGACGTTAATAAGCCGACAGAATTCTAGCCGACACCCGATAAAAAGAAAAGTTACCAAATTTTTAAACAGCACAGAGAATAACTCACATTGCAATATTTTGCATGTAAAGCCTGCACAGAAAGCACACACGCGCCTAGTACCAGCGGCTCATATAGGAGGTTACATGAGACCAGCAAATTTACGATTTCTAAACTTGGCCATTCTGTAAACATATTTACGGGAAAAAGTTAAGTACCCGGTTGCAACAAAATATAACCTGACCTTCAGAATCAACCTGATAACGCAAAAACGTCAAAATTCAACAGCTTTGTAAAATGAAATCCCATGGATCTAAAATATATGCTTACTGTGTGCCGCAGTGGGCATAGAGTAGTCTCTTTCTCCTCCCTGTGGTGTATCCACATCCAAGTACCTCCCTGGTCTTCGAAGCCTAAACACCAATGCACACATTTTTTGGAATGATGCTGCTATGATTGAGTGGCCCCATTGAGAAATAGCTTGCCATTCAGAAAGATGTGGCAGTATTTTTTCTATCACACTTAATGTTTTATTTCGTAAAACCTCCCCCTTGCCATTTTAAGCTGAAAAAAAAACTACCAAAATTGAGTTTTCATGACAAATAAATTAACCCAGTAATAGTTATGGTTTTTAAATCGTAACATAAGTAAGAGCGAGCACTTTTTTTGATAGGAACAATATAGTAATGACACTTTTAATCTGAAAACACAAATTAAATACAAATTAGTTTTCAAACTAATACAAGCTAAATGCATGCGGGACCTGTCTATCATAGTTGCTTATCGAGGGACCACTATCATAGTAGTACCATCGCAACTATCGATAATCAAAAAGCAATTGCCATTTCCGACTACGATAGCTTCCGCTAAGTTAAGTTTGAAAAAACGCTCAACGCGAAACAATCCTTAAAATGTTTCAATTGATTTTATTTGTGCTGAAGACTAGCAAATATTATATCGAATCATTCGGTCGGATATACTGGCAGCAGTTCCGAAACAAGATGTGGACACCAACAAATTTCAGCTTCAAAAGCAGTACCACCATGTTTCTCTAAAACGTTGAAAGACTAATGCTGACCTGTCATCTGGTGGTCCATTGAATCTATTGTGACTATCATTTAAGAAACCCCCTCTCCCCATCCCACTCCCTCCCATCTGCCCTGCACTATCATAGGGGTGATTGCGTCTCCTCCTGAAATGGGCAGCTTCTCCCTCCGAGAAGTGGTTGTTGTTGTAGGGTCTACTATTAGGGGCGACTGTCGCTACTCGCGGGTGGTTCTTCTGAGCAGACCATCGGTTACTGAGAGTATTCGAAGCCACACGCTAAAAATCTCACTTCGTCAATCATTAAAATTTACCAGATGAGTTCTATGCTATAGAATGCCGTCGACAACCATTGTGATCAAAAGGATGTTAAAATTGTTACTTTTATCTTACAAAGAATACAACTCGAATTCTTCCAACTTTAGAAAAGTCAATTTGCGTTTTCCTGAATAGGCCAAACATGATTTTTATTCGACTGACCGTGATTTTGGGTGCTCCTCTGCCTATCTCCGACTCCAGTTTGGCACTGGCCCCACTCAACTTGGCCCTGAGAGACTGTGCAGACTCACTGCTCACCAACTCCCCATTTCCGTCTATCAGCTCCGAAATCAGACTGGCGCGCGTCGCTTTCTAGTAACAATGAGAAAATTAGAAAGTCTTTTTTAAATCCCAGATATCTTGGTTAATCATATCTTGCCCACACATTTTCAGTTCTCTCATGAACCAATAATACGCAATCTTTTTAAGCAAGAAAAAAATCGCAATATCATTAACCAGTTTCTATTCGAAACATTTCTATCGGATCTTTGTATGGCGATAGCTCACGAATCAATCAGAAGCTGAAGAGAACCACGTAAATCAAAATGTTCAAAAGTAAAAATACCAAGAAGAGAAATCTGTGCTGTGTGTTTGTAACATGGTGTAGCGCATCTCTCAGCTCGAACTCGGCATCACACAAGTCACAGTAGTATGTGGGGTCCTCATTGGGTCTACTGATGCACACGCGCTCCGTCAGACAGTCCAGTCCTGAACGAAAGAAGCTCAGAACAGGGAATCAAATAAACTCATAAAAAAAGCAAGGGTTAAATAATTGCTAAAGTAACCTTTAAGATCGAAAAAAATTCAATTCTCGAAAAGTCTTGAGCCCGAAATTAAGTCCCGAAATTCAACTTTCGAAAAATACAACTGTCGAAGAAATTCAACTGAAATTCAACTGTCGAAGAAATTCAACTTTCGAAATTAAGTCCTGAAATTCAACTTTGCGCAGTTCAGGGGTGACAGACGACTCTCCCCCTCCCCCAGGGATTCGACCCCCTCACTAACCAAAGATCCCCCTTCGGTATTATTTGAAGACATCCATTTTCGGCCAACAAGTCATAAAATTTTTCTAAAGAGGCTTTTGGCGCTAATATACGCTAATTTTGAAGAACAGCGCACGCCGCAAAACGCAATTTTTCGGTCAAAAAATTCCAAAAAACAAAAACGGCGTTTTAAATTTGCTTTTTCAAATATTTGACTGCGAAAATCAATTTGATCTACCTAAAAAAAAAGGTCGATAAAATTTTCGATTTTTTTGAAAATCAACCCCCCCCCCCCCCCTCGAGAAAATCCTATATCCGCACCTGGCGTAGTGTACTTATGTGACGCTGATGCAAAATCTTTTTTGCGGCATCTCATTTTACGAAAGACACTAGCGCGTGATTTCGAAATACTTGCGCGTGGTTCGTATCTAAGGTGCTTCAAAACAATGACCTTCAAACTGCTGCCCTAGCGTTCATTATGCTAGCCGAGCAAAGCGGTCGCTAATCGCCAATGCCGTGTTCGAAGTTAGCGTTGACTTACTAGAGTCTGAGCCTGCTAAAGGATTGGTCAACTAAAATCCCTAGCATATTTGAGATATTTGAATAAGATTTTTGGGGGAGGCTTCTCATGCTGGAGGGACTGAATGCTGGAAAAATTTCAACCAATCAAAATCGCTAAGCGTTCCTATTGGCTAGATGCCTCTCTCACAAAATCGAAGTCAATACTAACAGAAAATGTATTAAGCTGTACAATTCGTGCAGATATAATAATTTTTTTTTGTTTTTCCATTTTTCGTAAATCGGTATCCTTGAAATATCAAATTGTTCCAACCTGCCTTCGATCCGGCAATATTTGAAAATTCATCTGCTTATTGTCTAATCGGTCTATATTATCACTAATGGCCAGGATTAGTTTGAGATTTTCGCAATTTCCATGAGAATTTTAATTACTCAATTCTGATTGGCTGAAAACAGACGAAAATAAATTTCAAGCAGTCGGTCCCTCCAGCATGATGGAGGCCACCAGATTTCTGATTGGCTGCAAAAAGAGAAAATAAATTTCCAACATTCGGTCCTTTCCTAATGAAGAACGCCACCTTGTTTTTGTCGCTATTTCAGCTTGACAAGCAGAAAAGTTTGAAAATATGAAAATGTATTGGCTAGCATACTTTTGATAGCTTTTTTTCTCCGAAATACACAACAACAAGGAGAAATTGAAACTTGCATTTCTGAGAATTTGAAAAATTAGAAAAGAATTTCAAATTGAAATTAAGCTATCAACAAGCAGATGAAGTTCCTTGTCACATAATTTGTGATCAATCACACCGTTGCCGCTAAACCTGAAAATGCAGTTATGTCTGAAAAATCAACAAAAATACTGGGACAGTGAACTTGTGTCAAAAGTTGTTGACTAAGAGTGATGCTTCATGCTTGCAATTAAAAGTACAATTAATTGCAATTTGATTTTGCGTTACGCCAATTAATTGGTAATTGATTTTTAACATTCCAATTAAATGCAATTTAATTTGCTGTTCTTCAATTAATTATTGACCTGCCATGGTCACATCCCATCCCATCCCGACCCAGGTGCGGATTTATAGGGGGCGGGTTCGACATCCTTCAAGGATTGGACCCTGCCGACCCGCACGCGAGTTTCATGGAAAAAAATCGATTTTAATGGCAACCCATATAATCAATTTTCATGGCCCATGTAAACATTGTAAATTGATATTTATGGAATTTTAATTAATGTAACGCCTTTTTTGCCTGCTTTTCCAAAATTCCATCCCCTCTCTCGAAAAAATCGTAGATTCGCCCCTGCTTCGACCTGTAATGGCTTGAACCGAACACTGTTGCAAATTGTGAAATGTGTAGAATAAATATGATTTATATGGTTTTCGGGATCTTCTTAACAATTCCACCCCCTTGCTACAGGAAGAGATTCGTTACTAAGTACAAAATTCGTATATGCTTTAACCAGTAAATTATTCCATTATAGGGGTGGCAATTCGTTACTAGGTACCAAAGGGTGGGAGAATAGTTGAAGAGATCCGTTTTGTGCGTACAATGATTTGGATCTTGCTAAATATTCCCCCTATTGCAATAGGGGGGGGGGGCAATTCTTTACAAGGTTTGAATGAAAATTTTTGACATAACGCCAACCAATTTCGACAATATATGAATTTTATTTCGATTTTTCTGCTAGTCGATGCGATTTTCATTATAAAAACTTTTATGCTAGTTTATCTTTATGCTAGTCGATAAACCGCCCTATCTTAGATTGTTCTATTAATGAAGTTGATAACTTTGCTGAGAAATCGTGAGATAATTATCGTAATTAGGGAAGCTTGACCCAAGACTGCGTCTCTTACGTCTGTCAATCAATTATGCGTAAGCTGTTATGCTAAAAGCCTCAATTTCACTTTTTATGCTAACGATTGATGTGCTTAAATGCCTAACAACAAACAGATTGTTGGACGGGGAAACTGATTCCTAAAATCTGTTGTAAAAAAAATCACAATGAAAATGATTGCAACCGTCAAAAATTGACTGGGCGCATCCAACAGCGAATTTTATTTCATTTTTTCGAGTCAACATAAGAACTTCTTACAGTGAAACGTCAGTTGACTCACCGATGATTGGATTTGTCTCCCTCTGTAGAGACGAAACTAGTCGTGCACTCTGTAATTCCCCAAGGGCAGTGTCAATTGGATCAGACTGAGAAGATTGATCTCCTAAGTCTTCCACACGCTGAAAGAAAAATCAGGTTCAGCAAATTTCAAATGACTTTAAGTCAGTCGAACGTTAAACGCTATTTCTGCAAACATACAAATCGAAATATAACTTATTTGGCGAAGATTTTTTCGACTGATTCAGGGATTAACTTGATTTACTTACCTTTGCATGTCTGAGCCCTAACAGATGTTGTTTGTACGCCACTGAATTGTTCAGCTGCAGCTCACATGGCTGAAAAACAAAACAAACCAATGACACACTTCCAATTTTGGCATAGCGAAACATTTCAAATCATAAGGCCTCATAATTACGAATAGGATCTCACTATTTGAATAGTTTTAGTCGCTGAAGAAATAATTATTGATAATATTCTGTGCAATGGCAATTTGCATCGATTGAACTCGAAATCCTCTGCATCATTAACTAAGCCGGAGTGCGGTCTGTATTTAGACAACCGCGTATTCAGACACTGTATTAACCAATCAGAATCGAGATAAGGAAGAAATGAATTTCATATCTTCCTTGTCTCGATTCTGATTGGTTAATTCAGTGTCTGAATACGCGGTTGTGTAAATACTGCTAGGTAACCAACTGAGCCAAATCGCAACTTCGCATAATTTGCCAAACTGAAAATGTGTTCAACAGTGCCGAAAATTGATGACATTTCAAAAGTTTTTAGTTCTGTTTGTGAATTGTTTTGGGAGCGAAACCGAGAAGAACAAAAACTGACAATTTGCCGATTTTTTTGTTTATTCAGAAAAATTTATGGCGCCGCGCGAGGTAACTTTTGTTAGTTTAACAAGCGACAGCAATTAAAATGGCCTTGGGTCTTTTCAACTTCCGTCGATTTAAATTAATTTACTTGTCAGTGATTTGGGATGAGTAAAATCAGTATGTAAAATAATTTTCGGCTTTGTTGAACAACGTTTTATTTTTCGGCACTGTAATACTTCGTCACTGTTGTACTGCCCCAAGCATAGCAATGCAAGCTAGTGAATAGAAAATGAGAATGAATTGAAGCTCTCGAACTTCTGGGCAATAGTGGAGTTTGCCTTCGTCTTAACAAAGTAAATTAACTGAACTGACAAAAAGACGACCCTAGTATGACTGAAAAGAGAAAAATCAAAATGCGAAAAAGTAAATTAAAGCCTGTACAAATTTAAGGACTTTGCCTTAAAAAAGTTTCAAAAATTATCGCGACCTATATAAGAATCTGAACTACGTTCATTGAATCTTAAAACAGAGCTTTCACTGTTTAAAACCATATTTGAAAAAAATATCTACGAAAACTTGAATTTGTCTCGACTGGTGTTCAACTGAAAACTAAGTCGAGAAACCAAAGCACCCGCGTTAAATCAGCATTCAGTATATTTTATAGCCACTGAGCCGACAATACTTGGGTAAACGCCCGTTGATCCGAAAATTGCCATGAAAATTTTTTTTTTGTCATTAAAATTTTTGATCTAACAGGCTTTTAAACTGGAGGACACTTCCATTTCTTTTACATCACATTCGCCTCCAAAAAAATAATAGAGCACAAAAATAAATTTTAGCTCCTCAAACGAAGTCAGAAAAAAATAAGCGAAAATAAATTAATCGAAATCAGAATTGGTAAAGTTTCTGAACGACTTTCAATTAAAGTAAAAAGAGCTTCACGTAAAATAAAATTGGATCTACTTAACAATCCCCCCCACCTATTATAAAAGGGGGGAAATTGTTAAGTAGGTTCAGCTTGCAAATTACTAGCAAATTAGTCGAACTTTCAGCCAATCAGAATGCAGCAAATGCTGAAACCGAGAAAAAGTTCTAATTGGCAACAGCTGTTACACTTAGCAAATAAGCACGTAAAATGAACTTAGCAAATGAGCACGTAAATTAAAGGGGGGGGGGAGAGATTCTTAAGTAGGTACCATGGGGGGGGGGGGGGGAATTGTTAAGTAGATCCAGAAAATTGCACACTTTTGAAACTAATATTACCCGACAATTCAAGTTCTCCCAGAAAAAATCTATTTCATTCAAATCGAAAAAACAGCCCAACCGAAATTCGAACACCAAACCGTACGATCCAAAAGCACGCGCTTTACCACTTGACCAAAAGTGCTTGGGTCAGGAAGTTTTTTTAGGTTCCGCAATAAAGAAAGTCCGTTCTTTAATACAGATTTGGAACGAGATTGTCTACAGATAAAGTACTATTCCAACTTATCCAATGCAATCGTATCAACTTTCAAAACTTAACCTTTACTAAAAACTATATTTTATTACTTTGATTAGTCGGCGTAATCACTATTTAGTATAACTTTCATATCGAGTCCCACGCCCGCTTACGCTGTCGAAGCGATCAAAACTAACTTTATCTAACGTGTATATAAGCCCTGGATGCATATGTTTAGTTTGATTACAGGGTAAGATACAATCATGTAAGTTGGAACAAAGTAGAACGGAATATGGATGACATGACACCAATTGTTGGGCCGAAACAATTTAAGTTTAAATATACCCAAATTTTCTTAAGAGTTCATTGGACGATATTTTAAGTAGATCGTTTTGTTTTGTTCGATTCAAATCCCTCTCCATTGTGAAGATGGTGCTGATTTTAGGGCCGCTAATTTAGACTCTCTTCAACCAACAAAAAAAATCAAAAATTTACTCACAATGCAGTAATTCTCTCTCGGCTTAGATGGAACTACATTTGCTCTATTCTCACTAGGTCCTCTGCTGTTTTGATCACTCGCGGCTTTTGGCGGGGACAACGAGTCTATCATTCCTTCTTCATCTTCCTGGGTGTTATTTTTCCTTGGAGAATGGGCCGCTATTGAATCTTTCACTATAGAAACACGACTAGGTCCTGCTTCTTGTTGCTGCGAAACTTTTTGAGGTGAGGCACCATAACTGGTTGTCGGCTCCATGGGCGCTACGTTAGCAGTTCGAATCAATTTTCCAATGGGATTCAATTACTGTTCCTTTCAGTTCATAGCAAATCCTTAAAAAGCAAACAAATCAGTTAATTATTATTAATTCGAAAGCACAAAAAATGAATAATTTAGTTGCTGTGCAAGTGCAGAGTAGCGGTAGCCGGTTGCTGTGCAAGAAGCACAATAAGTTCCGAACAAAGTTATTTGTCCAAAAAAAAACATTTCATTTTCTATTTTTTTTTTCGAAATTGCGTCAATTTTTTTTCTGCGTGGCCTGGAGAGAGAAGTAATTTAGTAGTAATGTCCGTATTTGACTAGTTTCACTTCAGAATAAAACAATGAAAACAGAATAAAACAAAGAACACAAAATTTCACACAAAACAATCTGGATTTTATGGGTGGAACTTTTGAACGTTGATTCCAGGGAAGCGCTACGAAAACGAAATTTCCTTAAGATAAAAAACGAAATTTCCTTAGATTTTTTTACAGTTTAAGCAATATATTTTTTTCATATTTATTAGCTACTCGTTCGTTTTACACTGTCTAAATTGTAATAAAAACAAAATTTTTACACCAGTTTTTCTCGACAATTCTAAAACCTTATAAAAAATTTCTTTCAACAATCAAAAATGCTTCGGTATGATTAATCACTCGTCCTATTATGATAACTATTTTGGTAACCTGATTTTGCTAAAAACAAACACATCCGATTACAAATTTCATCCCCACTTTCAGTGGTAGAAACAATAATGTCACGATCTTATTCACTAAATGTTTTATACAATTTCAACAATTAAAGTAATCTGGTTATTTTGCAATCCAATCAATTTAAACAAGGGAGTAAATTACCAGGTTTCTTCTTGAAACTTTCGCGACTTTTCCATGCCTTCTAAATATAACTTAGCTTCTTCCAGCGATGTTTCGGATAAGTCGGCAATAATTTCAACTAGCACCTCTTTCACGTCTTTTGGCATTTGCTTTGAACTACCAGCAAGATACACAAAAGCGTCTTCATTACTTATCAACTTCCAAACTAGTTGCTTTTCTTCAATGAGTTTATGCTGAACGTAGCAAACTTTATCGGTCAGGTATCTTGAAAACGCTGGAAAGACTTTCAAATCCGGGAAATTTGTCCTCCATTCTTCTTTGAAGTAGAAATCTTTTTCTGGGTGTCGACAACCGAAAAACAGGAAACATTTCCTTCCATTCCTGTGCTGAACAACAGATCGAAACGGCGCAACACCGGTCCCGGGTCCGATCATAATCAAAGGGGTTTCCTGATTCTGGGGAAGAGAGAACGACCCTTTTCTGAAATCGATCATAACTTTTTGAGGAATTTCGGAATCTGCCAAAAAATTCGAGCACAACCCTAGTCGAGGCTGTTGTATTTTTGTCTGAAATTTAACGACTGCAACTAATAGTTCCACAAAACTAGAGTCCGTGCCCTGTTTTGTTATAACAGAGGCCATTGAAAAGTTACGTTCTTTAATTCGTGGAACATACTCGATGATTCGTTCCAAACTTAGACTGGAAGTAGTTTTCGGGAAGTCTCGAAACACTTCTAGAATTGATCTTCTCGGCCTGCAACAGTAAGAGTAGAACAATTCCTGGTCCGTGAAAATTTCCATGAGCTTTTCTCGTTCGTCTTCATCGTTAGATAATTTAGACATAACTTCGAAAAATGATCTCCGCGGTATTGAGATTAAATCAAGAACATTAGTTATTAAATACTCGATACTAATCCATTGATCTGATATATCAGCAATCATAATTTTACTAGCCATTGAAATTTGAGGGAAAAGTTCGCAAAACAAGTTGAAACAACTGATGGGATTGACTGGTTGGATTGCCAAAACATCGCCAGGCTTCATTGATTCTGATTTTTTGGATGACTCAAATGAAATTCTGGCCAAGATTGTTTTCTGAAAATGATCCTCGGACGTAACTCGAGCAACACTGTCAAGACTTCCTTTATAAGGACAACAATGCTTCCAAGAAATTTCAGCTGCTGCATTGTCTTCATTAGTAGTTGGTAAATATTTAAGCTTTATTGTACATGGAAGCGGCAATTCAAGAGGTATAGTTGGAGATTCAAGTTGAAAATTAAACCTCGTTGAGAGAGCTTTTAAACAGTCAGCGATAAAAATTTCACTCTGAAAGTCAGATCCATGTTCATGTTGCTCATCAGCGAGTTGAAGATCGAAAATTGACTTCCCTCTCAACATTTGTATTCTCCTGAACAACTTTTTTGCCACAAAATTAAACTTGGTGTATGCTGAATCCCCTAGACCAAGAAGAGAGTACTCGACGTCACTGAAAAGATCCTGGGGACAACTGCGACTCATTATTGATTTCCAAAAAGATTTAGCATTCAATGGAGGGTCGCCCTGACCACAGGTTGAGCAAACTATGATTGCGACCGAAGGAAAAACAAACTGATAATCATTCAGTGAGCATACTCTGCTTTCAACGTCGGGATCCAGGTAGTACTTCAGCCGCCTGTGTAAGTTTGTTGCAACGTCTTCTGCGCATCCCGTTTCACTGCCGTATGCTACTTGTAGAATCATTTATTATTTTCTGAAGATACAAACAACTTGATTCGACAGATAAGAACAAATAAAGTAAATTCAACCATGGTCGAACGCTTCTGGTTATAAAAATTGAAATTCAAGGAATCAGTTGCAGAGTTTTATAGGTGGCGGATTTATGGGTATCGTTCCTAATGAAAACGTATTAGAATTAAAAGCTTCGATTTCTTCCGCTGAAAGTTCGTCAGTACGTGAATACGTCAGTTGTTTGATGCCTTTAGTTCCGTGACTGATTATCCTTCCAAAGAGCATTTTCGGTGCAGATATTTCAGTGACAGAATAAATCTGTTCACCTTCCTCGCCTTTTAAGCAGTCTGGATCAGCTTGTGTGTCACGTTGCATTGATACAGCGATGTTTACATCTGCAACTCCAACACTTGTTGTTTTCGATAGTGAACTTTTAACATCGCTCTGCTGTCCAAACACTGATACCGCTCCAGATGAATCAGTATGTATATTTGAACTCCGAAAGACAGAGGCGTTTGTGGACTTTTTGAGTGAAAAAGCCGAATTCGTTGAATTATTAGTTCCTCTGCCGAAAGCTGACGCACCTGAATCGTTACTGTGATCATGCGACGATTGGGCAGTGTTGAATCTGCCAAATACCGAAGGGACTTGTCTCGAGCCGAAATTGGAAGATGGAAGGGTTTCTTGATACTTCTGTTGAGTAGAAAATGAATTTTGGTTACCGAAAACACTCGAGTTATTCGATCCGGAGGAAGACTTTGTTTGTCCGAAAACTGAAGCTGATTGTCCTACGCGATTGAAAACCGAGGTACTTCCTCCTGCTTTATCTTTAGGGTAGTCACTACTTGCATGAACAAATCTGCAGTTACCCCCTTGATTACAATATCCAGCGTCAAAAAATTTGCAGCGCATTTTCAAAAATATCGATTAAACATTCCTTATCTGCAAAAGAAAAAAACAGCTTTGATTATATTTTAGGGAGAAAAGTTATATTGGTACATTTAAGTTTTGGTTGAAAATTCAAAAAAAAGACAAGGACAGGAAACGCCATTAAGTTTTGGTTGAAAATTAAAAAAGGGCAAGGACAGGAAACGGCATTAAGTTTTGGTTGAAAATTTAAAAAGGGCAAGGACAGGAAACGGCATTTCCGTGTGTACAGTTACGCCATTAGGAGCTTTTAGAAAATATTTTAACGCAAATGTGCAAATTTAACAAACAAGTTCTTAGTTTTACTTAAAATTTTACAGATTTAGTTGATGAAAAGATGATATTTTAGACATTCACAAAAATTTTACTCAAAATACTTACGCTCTTAGTTCGGATGGGTTGCATCCTTCTGATGGGGGTGTTGGAATTTTGGTGCAAACATTTAGAGATTCATATAGTAAATCTTCAATAACATCAAATACAGGCGAAATAACAACCCGAACAAGAACTAGCGCATGACAGGCGCCTACGGTGCTCCAAAAAATCGTTGAACGTATAAAGAGCTTTCTAAATCATGTGTAAGAATAGGGACTCCTTAAACATACGTCGCATGAACAAAAAGCCAATTAACTAAAAGATAGCTAAAACAAACACATCAACAACCCAAATTAGATCCACAAATCGCTGATCGGATGAAATTTATTCAAAATAGTGCAAAACTTTTCAGAAAAAAATGATTTCGTACTTTTTGAAGTAAACTTCGGCTATTAAACTATAAATCTTTTCCAATGCTCAACATTACATTCTGTTTGTTTTGTGCGGCAACTCTTTTTTCTCTAGCTCGGTTAGAAAACCTAGAAAACACAAAAAAATTGGGTAGTGTAAGCTACCATCCAATTACATTTCCAGCAAAACTTAAAAAGGGTGAGCGGATATCAATTCCACTGACTCATATTTTCATTTTTGCGCTAATACTCATACGAAGTGGGGACATAGAAACCAATCCAGAAAATAAACCATTTAAAATTTCAAAGTATCATTCAAAACCGCATGCAAGTTTAAAAAAAATCGTCGTGACATGGGTTAAAACACAGTTCTGGGGCTTTCTGAAACTTGGCTTAAGAAAGAAGATGATGATACCTTAGGGAATCTTTAACCTCAAACACATGTGATGTTAAAATATGACAGAAATTGCTAATGCAAAAAGGTGGGGACATTTTATTACACATACCACTTATATCGGCCCCAAAATTGATAGACGAGTTAAATTTGTTTGATAGCAAAAAATTTGAGTCAGTGTGGGTTGACTGCCAATCTAATTTTAATGGCGCCAGTAAGGAAAGAATGCCAACAAATTTATGTTACAACCCAAGCAACGAATTTTATGGAGTTTCGTGAACAACTTACTTTGAACAAACATTGATCATGCACTTTCTGTCTCTAACCAAATCACTTAAATGGGTGATTATAATATAAATTAATTGAAAAAATCGGGAAAAGATAATTTAAAATCAATCATCATTCCATATGGATTGAAGGTTTTTTGACTTAATGATGCAACACGAGTCAGTGTTTTGAAAAAAAAACCACATTGATTATCTAATTGGTGATTTTGAACAAACGGAAATGAATTTGGCTTTGATACGCCGTGCAAAACAGATAATTGTGCTTCACTTATTATGACAAGCAATAAATTTGAAAAAAAACCACCATAATTATTTTTTTAATTTCAGTAAAATATTTACCGATTAGTGAGATTTGCCAAACTCCGTCCGCTCCTCCTTGGTTTCATTTATTTCAAGGTACGGAGGCACAAAACACGTTTTCAATGCTGTTAAATTTATCTTATACTCTTCAGCAACATTCCACAATCGAAAAGAAACCTGTTCGTAATTTTAAAGCAAAAAATAAGCTGAAAACGAATTGGTTCGATTCAGAATATAAATAAAAACTGAAAATGAAACAAAAATCTTTTCTAGCCTACTGAAATGGAAATTCAAAAAAAAAAATTGCAAAATTATTGTCTTTGTCGTCACCAACTAGCCAAAGTCGTTTACAATAAACAAGGAAAACATTCGCATTTATGCTACTCTTTTCTCAGCACAATCCAGCAAAAATGGACACTTATTAATCCAATTCGAGGATTCGGTTCCATCATTACTACTTTGCGTAAGTCATTCAATTAAATGATTACACAGGACTTTAAAATAGCCAATCACTTTAAGTACGTTTTTTCAAAGTTAGGGAAATCGTTGGGCTCTGCTAAACCTCAGTTAATTAAACCAGGAACTTCTGAATCACAATCTTTAATTTTTAGAAATTCTATGATATACTGCGAAAGCTAAACATCCAAAAAACCTGTAGAACCTTGTACTGTTCCTGCTTGGGCAATAAATGATGCTCAATCAATTATTGGGCCACACTTAAGATTTGTTTTTAATGCCTGCATAGATGAGGATGTTTTTCTCACTGAGCTGGAAAAAAGCAAAATAAACTCAATTATTAAAAAAAAAAGATGACCCAATGGATCCCCAAAAATATTGACCAATTTCAATAACCTGTGCATTTTCAAAAAATTTAGAGAAAATTTTCCACGCCCAAATAACAGAACATTTGGAAAAACATCAAATTATAATTCTCAATCAATTTCCACACAAGATGCGCTTCTATACGTAACTGAAAATATTTGAGAAGAAATCGACTCCAAAAAAATGTTCACGCTTTATTGGATCTTTCAAAAGCTTTTGACTTTAATTCTCACATTATTCTAGTAAGAAAACTACGCTATATGGCTTTCCAGCAAAAACTTAAACATTAACTGAAAGTTTTTTGAATGAACGCTTTCAAAAATTCAATGTGAATGGAGTTTTTCAGGACTGGAAAGGTGTGCCGCATGGAACAGAACTGGGTCCCTTGTTGTTGAATTTATATATCAATCATATCGTATCTGCGATGGGTGTACTGTGGTACATTATCCAGACGATTGCATGGTGTATGAGTTATCTATATCTTCAAGAGATGCTGAGTCAAATTTAAAAATTTTTTACACGAGCTTACTTTTTTTGCTGAGAATCAGTTAAATCTAAATGCACCGAAAGCGGAGTTTATAAATTTTTGTCAAAAAAAAGATTAACAGAATGTGGAATCAGACAGTCTTGTTATCAAAGATCATTATGTAGAGAACAAATCTGAATGCAAATACTTAGGTTTGATTCTAGATTCTAATCTTTCAATTCAAACTCAAATACAGAAAATGTTGCAAAAAATAGCCCGAGGACCTTATGCCATAGATACGATTGGACAACAACTGCTTACAATATAATTGGTTGCCTTGCTTTACTGTTTAGTTTTATCCCATCTAGGTTATGCAGCAATTTGTGTGCCACAAATCAATGCGACTTTAATGATGTCCCTAGAAAAGCAGTTGAGTTGGGCCCTAAAACGCACGTTTTTCAGATCCAAACTGAAATCATCAGCTGCACTGCGTAAAAATTTTTTTTATCGGACTGGAAAACAGAATTGAATTTAAATGTGTATTTTATCTATATCCATATCTTACCGATAAGAGGAAAGCTTTTACCCATGCAATAACATTATCGACAGCCAATTACAGAAATAATAATCGCACTAAACAAGCAATTTTTGATAATCACTGTTCAATTGCTTCTCTACAAAAATCATTTTTTTACCTGGCTTCAAAAAAAATGGAACTCATTGCCAGTTAAATTTAGAAAATTCGACAACAGAACTTAAACTTTTAAGAAAAAAAGAAAAAGTTCTACAGTAGTGAAATGCAATCTAATCCAGCATGTACGTACACAAATACATGACGTGAGTTCCGTTTTGATTAAATGATTGGCATATATGACCAGTTTTATTTACCGATATTTTTAAGATGAATTGATTTAAATTCATGTACTATTCTATTTCATTTACTTTGTTAATTCTTAATCTGCTTTTTTTTATTCCAGCAGTAATTTCATCGTATTTTAATCATTTGTTTATTTCTTTTCACTATATACTATTTAAGCAGCTAATCTGAAACTTTGAACTAATCTTTATTACCCTTATTTGTATGAATGCTGAGACTTCTATACAGTATTTGAAGTGTTCTTTCTTCTTCTTCTTCTTCTTCGACAGACAAATTTTAAATGCCAAATCTCAAAAATCATTTAATATTTAGAATCAAAAGATTAATTAGATCTA